AGGGCTGCAATAAACTCTTGATATACAAGAATATAATATCATGTTAGATAGAGATTCTAAATGAAAAAGAAATAGGCGGCAAAATTAGGATTTGTTAATACTAGATGTTAACACACTAGACAAAATATACACTTGTCAACTACACACCGACTACTGTCTTTTATTCTGAAATTGTCATGTTGTTGCTTAGCTACTTTTGTAAAAATAGTCAAAAAAGATATAATGAAAGAAAAAAATTCAAAACGAAAATAAAAGAGAGATCAAAATTCAATATAAATTTCATCACCCAAGTCATTAAAATTACTCTGTCCGTAGGCCTGTCATGAATTTGCAAAAAAAGAAGAAATAAAATTATGATTAAATACACATTTTGTTATCATTATCAACTACTATGCATACATTTCAATTTCAAGAGTGACTAAAATGTTGTACTTAGAATTTCAAATTTTTATAACATAAATACTAAAAAAAAATTAAACTTTTGTTTAAAGAAAATGAAGTGTCAAATTTATCAACAGAAGAATATATCATCATCAACAGAAGAATATATCATCAGCATAAAATGTTTCTTTTGCAAAAACAATAAAAAACAAGAGGGCCATGATGGCCCTGAGGTCGCTCACCTGTATATAGGCCCCCCCAAACCCCCCCCCCCCCAAATGTTGCAGGGCCAATTTAACCAAAGGGCTTTTATTTGCACAAACTTGGTAGACACCCATAAGAAGATGTTTCATGCTTAACATCTAAGCTCTAGCTCATTGGGCTATTTAAAAGAAGATTTTTTTTAAGTTTTTACTATACACATATAGTTAAAAACAATGACACCCCTGGGGCTGGGCCAGTTATGACCCCAGGGTTTTTATTTGAACAAACTTTGTAGACACTTACTAGAATATGTCTCATGCTTAATATCTTAACTCTAGCTATTTGGGTTTTTTCAAAGAAGATTTTAAGTTTTTGCTGAAAATCAATGACCCCGGGGCGGGGTCAATTTTGACCCCAGGTCTTTTATTTGAACAAACCTTGTAGACACTCACTAAAAGATGTTTCATGCTTAATATCTTAACTCTAGCTATTTGGGTTTTTTCAAAAAAAATTTTTTAAGTTTTTGCTATACACATATAAGGAAAATCAATGACCCCCGGGGCGGGGCCAATTTTGACCCCAGGGCTTTTATTTGAACAAACTTGGTAGACACCTATTAGAACATGTTTGATGCTAAATATCTTAACCATAGCTCTTTGAGTTCTTTAAAAGAAGATTTTTTAAGTTTTTACTATATGCATATATAGGGAAAATCAATGACCCCCCGGGGCGGGGTCAATTTTGACCCAAGGGCTTTTATTTGAACAAACTTGGTAGACACTTATTAGAACATGTTTAATGCTAAATATCTTAGCTCTAACTCTTTTGGTTCTTTAAAAAGAAGATTTTTTTTAAGTTTTTTACTATATGCATATAGGGAAAATATAGGGAAAATCAATGACCCCCTGGGACGGGGCCAATTTTGACCCCAGGGCTTTTATTTGAACAAACTTGGTAGACACCTATTAGAACATGTTTGATGCTCAATATCTTAGCCATAGCTCTTTGAGTTCTTTAAAAGAAGATTTTTTAAGTTTTTACTATATGCATATAGGGAAAATCAATGACCCCCCGGGGCGGGGCCAATTTTGACCCCAGGGCTTTTATTTGAACAAACTTGGTAGACACTCACTAGAAGATGTTTCATGCCAAATATCTAAGCTCTAGCTCTTATGGTTTTTTTAAAGAAGATATTTAAAGTTTTTTCTTTCGGTTGCCATGGCAACCAGAGTTCTGCATGGAATTAAATTCTTTGAACAATTTTTAAAGGTGACCACCAAAGGAACATTCCTGTGAAGTTTGGATGAAATTGGCCTTGTGGTTTATGAGGAGATGTCATTTAAAGTAAAAGTTTACGGACGACGGACGACGGACGGACGACGGACGCCGGACGAAAAGCGATCACAAAAGCTCACCCTGTCACTTTGTGACAGGTGAGCTAAAAATAATCAAAAACTTCTGACTGTCTCGTTTTTTTTTTATTTTGTAAAATCTCATTCTTATCTGCCATGCTACAGATACAGAAATGTCTGACTTTTATTCATTTTTAATTTCTTTGTCACAGATTTTAGTTCCGCAGAAAAGTCTTGTTCATCGCATAATATAAATATATATATAAAAAAAAATTATTATTTTTTTGTTAGTAGCTAAATCATCTTTTAGAATCTATTTTTAGTTCAATCTATTTATAGATCAAGACAGTGGTCCTGTGATAAAAGACGTTGAGTACAAAAATCGTGCATCGTCTACATTTATCTATACCAGAATCCTTAGAGTTTAGGCCGCTGAAAATAATAAAATTGTAAACAATACTAAATAATATGGCCGCTGAAAAATAATAAAATCTTAAAATCTATTTTGTCTAGCCATTACATAGCCTGTTGTTTTCTTTCCACCAACTGACCAACATTTGACAACATATGATTTCTTTTACCTATAACCAACAACATTTTACATAGAAAATGCTAAAATACCTTAAAGCAGCATTCCTCCATATTCATATTTACTTCAATATGGGGATCAAAAAAAGAAATAATCTAAAAATATTTCATTCTGTCATAATTATTTTGTATGTAAAATGTTTAAAATTATGTGAAATGTGAATATCTATATAATTTATTTTCAAAACTCTTTTTACATTGTTAAAAGTTTAATTTTCTTCTAAACTTTATAAATACATCTGGAGGCATGCAGCTTTTGGAGCATTTTCTTTATCTAACGTTCACTAGAAAATATGTGAGCAGAAAAAATCTTTTTTTGGAATGAAGCAAAGCGATTTAATTTTAAAAAGAGACTCAATGATAAACTTATTTGCAAGCTTAACTTTCAATAAGAGATCATAAATGTTGGTCAAATATTTAAATAAACAATTACCAACAGACAGACAGACACATTCTGCATTCAAAAGTCTGTTCCAATCTGACCTTTCATTCACAGGTCACATACATAAATTTGCAAGTAATTAATTTCTAAATATAGTAACAGTTAGTGTGAAAGTACTTAATTTTGTAAACGATTCAATAAGACTAGATAAGGGCAAATACCCCTAGCTAAATTGTAAAAATACTATCGCCTCATTTAGAGATGTTCAGTATAACCTTTTATTCTGTAACGTCAATTTGGAACAGACTATACCATTCCCCCTATTTATAAATATATATAACATATGACTTTGATGTAAGAAATATAACATTCTTTGAAATTTTTTCTTAAAAATTCACCGCAACACTGCAGAAAATAGCTGATATAAGACAATACTGGAGGAATTCAACATTTGATGACATTTTGGAAAAAAATAATCTATGATATGTTTTCGTTGGGATAGATTATATAATGAAAGTATTCAAGTTAAAAAAAAATCTTTGGAAAAACCATCTCACTAAATATTGCAATAAGTTATATCAAATTCAATATTTATAAAAAAAAATAAGAAATGTTGAAAAGCTAAAAAAATAATCGTATCTTGAATGAAAAACATAGTAAAACATTCATAAACTGAAGATAATACAGGCTTTTCCGGACAACCAACCAGTAATAACAAATTTCACTGCAAGTAACCGACTGCTTATCATGCTTTAATAACATAATCAATTGTGAGTAAGCGATCAATTTGTCACCATAGTGCAATAACTGGTTAACTCCTATCAAATTTAGAAGGACTTAACCCGTTACTGCATAAAAGTGACAAATTATTGTCACTATGAAATTTCACCTCAACGTAGAATCCTAACAGTTAACCCTCAGTTACAAAATCTATTGCTCTCCCTAATGAGCCACACAAGATGTGTAATAAAAAACAGTATCACATCCAAAGCTTGCACTCTCTTGATTGCTTTGAAAGTTTGTGCTGCTGTTAATCCTGCTATATTTCTTAAATGCATTACCGTAGTTGTTGATTTAAACGCCCTAACATATAAAAAAAATCCCTAAATTTACGACTGCCTTGAATATTTGAACCAAGAAGGGGAACAACTCTCATATAAACCCAACAAGCATTATCTCCCTTTGCTTATAACCTGTTTCAAACATATCCCTCATTAACAAAAATCAACCTTTTTTTTTTACTTATCAAAATGGTTATCTCTGAAATAGACCATACAAGTGGTATATTCATAAGTTTTCTCTTATATTTGAATCCAAATAGCCCTACTAATGCCATCTTTTTTAATGATTATCTAAAACATTGCAATATTGAATAATTTCTTAAATTCTAAAATGTCTTTATTTTATATTCATCTGACTAGCATATTCTGAGGTCTATTTTCCTTACTTCTATTGGAATACTGCTTTAAACTCTAAAATGTCTTTATTTTATATTCTGTTTGACTAGCACCAAGGAAAGCAAGCATTCTCAGGTCTATTTTCCTTAATTCTATAAAACTCTTATTTCTACCAAACCATACATGTACTGTGATTAAGCAATGGATTTGAATGATTTAATGTTTAAGGTTCTTTCTCCATCATTAGCATGTCATAATTCAGCCAAGTTTGTCACTATCCATATCATTTAGTTGGTTGATTGGACAAAATGTTTAGTAGTTTAAATGGTCAGAATCGACCACTCCTCATTTTAGTTAAGATACTGAAAGGGGCAGAACTGAACTGGAAAGAGTCGGATTTTCTCTGTGCTAGAAAGAACCAATTAATAATGAACTGGAAAGAACCGAATTAGTCAGAGCCGAATAATTATAAATTAAGAAATGTTCAAAAACTCTGAACCAAAAATATGTTCACTTACGCACGGCCATATGACCTGTGTTAAAAGTCTTTAAAACACAGAAGTTCCGAATTATTCGTAACCGAAAAGTTTCAAATTTAACTGAACTATCACAAGCTAAAGAAGGAATAAATTATAACCATAACACATGAAGGAAAATGATAAATTAATAATATGGAAACTGTTATAGAGTACTTACATAAGCCCTGAATTCTGGTCTTGAGCATCCGTCCGATTTAGTACCGTCGTTAAAGATAACACATTCCTCGGGACGCACTGTAAGTTCATTCGGTGACTGAGCAAAGATCAATTTTTGAAAAAGTTGTCCGTTGATGAACTCTAGTTTGATGTGAGGTGGTGTTTGCTGTAAATAAGAAGAAAAAAATAAATAACGATTTTTTGTAACTGTATAACTCATAAAAGTTGAAGTATTATTAAATAAATAATTAATCCTGCAATGCAAATATTAACATTCATTCATGGTCGTTTTTAATAGTGACTCAGTAATTTGTAGAAAAAATTTCTTTACTGAATCTGCCATGCATGTAATTGTAACAGTTTCTTAATGGTGTTGAAAGTAAAATACAATGATTGTGATTCTTATAATGAGCCACGTCACGACAAAACCAGCATAGTGGGTTTGCGACCAGCATGGATCCAGACCAGCCTGCGCATCCGTGCAGTCTGATCAGGATCCATGCTGTTCGCTATCAGTTTCTCTACTTATAATAAAGTTGGTAAGCTAACAGCATGGATCCAGATCAAACTGCGCAGATGCGCAGGCTGGTCTGGATCCATGCTAGGCGCAAACCCACTATGTTGGTTTTGTCGTGACGCGGCTCATATATTTCTTCTCTTAAGTTTTCTCTAAACTTCTGCTACATTCTACAATCTTCTTGTTCTTATCATTGTTTACACCATGGAAAATGGTGATACTTCTGATTTATTTGAAGCAATAACTAAGTTATAATTTTTTTAAAAATCGATTCACTGCACTGTAATATGCCTCATAACTCTGTACTCATACATTGCTTTTATGTATACAAAAAGGCATTTCATAAATAAAACTCTTACCCCCAAGTCATATTATAAGATGTACTTATTAAAAAGAATAGGCATTTAAATTTTGTATAAATTTAAAATTTGTATAAAATCATGCAATTGAGACAATAAAAGATTGAAATTTTATTTTATTTGATCATATAGTAGTATAAAAAGATTAAAATTCACAATTTATTTTCAAATCCAAATATTGCATGAATATTTCTTCAATCATATTTTACTGTAATGGCCATTCATACGACAACTTTTTCAGTTTCATTGGTATTTAAAAGACCTCCAATGGCCCATTATGTATATTTTCCAGCACAATTAGACAATCAAACTTCCCTTCTTTCAAATAAAAAAAACACAGTCCCAGCAGCAGGATTCAAACCAAACTAATATCAGCTACCTTTACCCTCTGCAATATAGGCCTTGTCATAGATTTTTTTCATCAATCTTTTCTATATATTCGTATCTTATACTCTTCTTACTGTTCAGTAAGGCCTTAAATAAAATATTACTTGTTTCCTCTCTCTCTACCTACCCACGAAAATCACTGCTACGCCAAAAATTTTATTGCCTAGCAACAAATTTTTTTCTTTATTTTTACTTTCATTGCAATGAGAATCACATCTTTATATCTGTCTCAAGTTTTTTTAATTGTAAATATACGAACGGGGATATATGTTTGATAAAACTAAAGTGGCGGCATGGGCGAGTAGTTAACGCGTCGGACTAGTAATCTAATGATCGCTTGCCGCATGAGTTCAAACCCCATCGGGGGCAAGTCGTTGTTTCCTTGAGCAAGAATCTTTACACTCATTGCTCAGTACTGGTTGGTTTCAGGAACAGATTTTTTTATTTCTCTTACATGTATGTGCTTTACTCGCCTTTGATTGTATGAACATATATTTGACAGGACTGGTTACATCGTAAGCATACCTCTTTTAATTTCGTGAAACTCTTTTCATTAAATACACCTGTGCGTATTGGCCTATCGGCAGGTACGCCACTGATAATTATTTCAACTGAAGTGTATGCATCTACATGAATATCTGATTAAATATTTTTGTGTCTATAAGCTTAGAGCTTCCTACACAATCAAACTAAAATAAATTCTGTATCAACCAAAACTGAAAATATGGTTCTTATCTTATTAAACAGATGTTTAACATTCACAACTTGTTTTGAAATAATTATTTTAGATTAAAAAAAAAATGCTATTGACCTACCTTCCCTACCCAAACTGGTATGGGTCGTGGGAGGGGAAACAAAGATAATTTTAAGGCTTGCCTAGAATTTGCTTGAGCATCAATTACTTTAAAGAAACATTAACAAGACATGCAGCTTAAGTCCAGCATGCATAGAAGTATCGAAAATAGGAGAAAAAAAATCCAAAACAAATTTCAACCATTTAATATGTCAGACCTGTATGGTATTTAAAAGATCTTTTGGCCCATTTAGTGTCCTTTTCGTTATTTTCAAAAAACCTTACGGTTATTTAAAAGACATTGTGGGTATTAAAAAGGAAAATTCTATTAGATTTAAGATTAATTATTTGATGTTCCTTTTTTTCGAAACTCAATTGAACTTAAAAAATACACATCCTGTTCTTGCAAATACTGCTCTCAACTAACGTAACTAGACAGCAGCATGCCTCCAGATTCATGTTAATTTTCATAAAAAATTTGGAAATGTATTTATAAGTAAAGTAATGCGAGATGAACAAATAAAGTAATTCACATATTGCAATCGGCACTTACAATCCACGAAAACTACCAAAAAATGGTCAACATAATTATGCAAAAACAGCCCTTACTGCGATAGTAACACAGTAGAAATATGGTGATAAAATGCTGCAAAATCAGTGTTAAACAGCATGTAACATGTAAAATATAACTTGAATCTTGAATGTTTCTTACCTTCCTTAAAAGTTAAGTGCATTTTTCACATTATTGATTTTCTTGAAATATTTTGGCTCATCTGGAGGCGTGCAGCTTTAAAACAGGTTATAGCCTTATATACATGTTTACAGTAAAACCCTTGCAGAACAACACCTTTTGGGAGGCAAAGATTTTGGTTGATGTTCCGAAGTGTTTAAAGTCAGTGATAAAATCTCAGTTTGGGAAAATTCAATTCTGTTGTTGTAAAGAGGTGGTTGCTCTACCGAGGTTAAATAGAATGTGAAGTCTTACTTTCGGAGAAAAGTTGATAATGTTGTTGTAAAGAGGTGATTGCTCTACAGGGAGAGAGCAGCTCTGCTGAGGTAATACTAGTATAAATGATATTTGAGCCATGCCATGACAAAACCAACATAATGGGTGTGCGACCAGCATCGATCCAGACCAGCCTGCGTGACCGTGCAGTCTGATCAGGATCCATCCTGTTCGCTGTCAGTTTCTCTACTTATTATAAAGTTGGTAAGCGAACAGCATGGATCCTGATCAGACTGCGCTGATGCGCAGGCTAGTCTGGATTCATGCTGGTCGCAAACCCACTATGTTGGTTTTGTCATGACGCGGCTCAATTATACCCTTTACTGGATTTAATATATTTTCAAGAGCGGTGATATATAAACCAAGTTATCATCAAAGAGTAATTATCCTAACCATAAAGGCATATTTCTATGACAAAGTGTAACATGTATTTATGCCATACTGATTAAAGATATCTAAAAGATAATGGTATCGCATTGTTTTAAAGTACAGTGTATAGCATATAAAACATTTCCTATCAAAAAGACTGTCTTGTAGTTTGGCATCACACTGGTATTGTTTTACCCTTATTCCCATTAAGTTCTGAAAAGACTGAGTTTTAGGAAATGTAAAACATGCAAAATAAACACTTGCCTGAATAAGAATCACTTGACGATGGCACTAGAATAAATCATTACAACACTATATTATGTGTTAATCACTATGAACAGTAATACAGTGACTTTTGACTTTTCAGGAATCAACAGTAGTTCCTAAAGCCCATGTCATTTTTCAGTAAAGCATGTTGGTTTGTAAATTCCATAAGGAAATTTGTCGGCTTTACAATAATATTGAGCAGTTATGCATGGTTATTTGTCAGTTATGCATGGTTATTTGTCAGTAATGCAGGGTTATTTATCAATTTTGCAGGGTAATTTGTCAGTTAGGCAGGGTTATTTATCAGTTATGCAGGGTTTTTTGTCTGTTATGCAGGGTTATTTATCAGTTATGCAGGGTTATTTGTCAGTTTTGCAGGGTAATTTGTCAATTTTGCAGGGTAATTTGTCAATTTTGCAGGGTAATTTGTCAGTTATGCAGGGTCATTTGTCAGTTTTGCAGGGTGGTTTGTTGGTTTTGCAAGGTGATTTGCCATTTTTATAAGGTGATTCGTCACTTTAACATGGTGATTTGTCAGTGTAACAAGGTGATATGTCAGCTACTCAAGGTGAATTGTTTGAATGATGCATGCTAATTTGTCCAGTATCCAAAGAGATTTGTCAGTTAAGCATAATGCATGTCAGATCTGCATGATGAGTGTCAGTTATACATGAAAATTCACTATTTACACAGAATAATATTTTCCCCAGTCAGTCATGTTGAATCATTACTCAGATGGATTTTTCCAATGTGCAGATAGATTTATTATACTGGGTGAACAGAATGCTATGCCAGGTCAAGTCACCTTGCACATCAGTACGCTAGGTCAAAGGCAGCTGGCACATCAGTAACCAAGATCAGCTGGCACGTCAGTAAACAAGGACAGCTGGTACTTCAGTAACCAAGGTCAGCTGGCATGTCAGTAACCAAGGTCACCTGACATATCAGTAACCAAGGTCACCTGGCACATCAGTAACCAAGATCAGTTGGCACATCAGTAACCAAGATCAGTTGGCAGGCCAGTAACCAAGATCAGTTGGCACATCAGTAACCAAGGTCAGTTGGCACATCAGTAACCAAGATCAGCTGGCACATCAGTTACCAAGGTCACCTGGCACATCAGTTACCAAGGTCACCTGGCATGTCAGTAACCAAGATCAGCTGGCACATCGGTAACCAAGGTCAGCTGGCACATCGGTAACCAAGGTCAGCTGGCATGTCAGTAACCAAGGTCAGCTGCCATGTTGGTAACCAAGGTCAGCTGGCACATCAGTTACCAAGGTCAGCTGGCACCTCAGTAACCAAGATCAGCTGGCATGTCAGTAACCAAGGTCAGCTGGCACTTCAGTTACCAGGGTCAGCTGGCATGTCAGTAACCAAGGGCAGCTGGCACGTCAGTAACCAATGTCAGCTGGCATGTCACCAACCAAGGTCAACTGGCACGTCAGTAACCAAAGTCAGCTGGCACATTAGTAACCAAGGTCAGCTAGCACGTCAGTAACCAAGGTCAGCTGGCATGTCAGCAACCAAGGTCAGCTAGCACGTCAGTAACCAATGTCAGCTGGCACGTCACCAACCAAGGTCAACTGGCACGTCAGTAACCAGTCAGCTGGCACATTAGTAACCAAGGTCAGCTAGCACGTCAGTAACCAAGGTCAGCTGGCATGTCAGCAACCAAGGTCAGCTAGCACGTCAGTAACCAATGTCAGCTGGCACGTCAGTAACCAAGGACAGCTGGCCTGTCAGTAACCAAGGTCAGTTGGCACATCAGTAACCAAGGTCAGCTGGCATGTCAGTGCTGTCTGATCATAATTTGCACTCTTTGCAAGGTTTACAGTTTGAAATTTTCACTAAAAATGATGAATGGCCTTGTCTAGATTTATAGATGGGCAGGTCCATTTAAGATATTTAGAGTGGTAAGGGTATATACTCTTTATTGTTATCATATAAAAAAAAACCTCTTAACATTTTCAACAGACAGTTTCGTACTCGAATTAAAAGGAGGTGAAAGGTTCAGAGTTTGATTAAACTGCATCCTGCCATTCTATATTTACATAAAGCATGGACTCTATATACATGTACTTCACACACTGATCACTGACAGCATCAAAGAATTTCCGTCGACTTACCTGAACTTTGGCCTTTGTACAGTCCTCGCCCTCCGTACAATGTTGGTTTTCATCCTTGTTGTTGTCAGCAGACGCCTCATCAAAGTCTTCATCATCATCTAGTGTATCAACTATAACAAAACAATGGTACATGTATATAATGATAGAATGCCAAGATCTCTTGTAAAGGAAAACCTGTGTTATAAGGACAACCTTTGTATAGGAAACGGACATGAAATTTCTCCGCCAAATTTTGTTGTTTTTTTTAATCATAACGAAAACATGGAAGTCATGCGACATTGTAATATACACATGACAAGAGTTCACTAAATTGTATTGTAATAGTTCTACACTAATAGAGAGTAAGTATGGACAGCCAAGGCTTTGTACATTTAGAATTTGTGTGCAAGGATACAAAATAGGTAAATTTTCAAACAATTATATAAATAATGTACCACTTCAAATACTTGTTGAGAACTGGTTAATACATATGAAATAACAACCACTTCCCACTACAAACAAAATAATGCTCTTTAATTTGTAAAAAGAAAATTCATTCTTTACTTTTCTGGTTGCCAGAGGGAAAATTTCCAGATTTTTTCAGAGGAAGAGAAAGCTTAACATCCCTTTAAATTACAGGCACTATATGGCCGACACCCAATTAGAACCACTAAGTGGTTTGAGGCAGCCACTGTAACCTCTCAGCCACAGTCCCTTTTAATCCTTAACCTGCTGACCTTTGTGCCAATGAATTTCCCTGCCCTAAAATTAGGGACAATTCAACTGACCTTTGTGCCAATGAATTTCCCTGCCCTAAAATTAGGGACAATTCAACTGACCTTTGTGCCAATGAATTTCCCTGCCCTAAAATTAGGGACAATTCAACTGACCTTTGTGCCAATGAATTTCCCTGCCCTAAAATTAGGGACAATTCAACTGACCTTTGTGCCAATGAATTTCCCTGCCCTAAAATTAGGGACAATTCAACTGACCTTTGTGCCAATGAATTTCCCTGCCCTAAAATTTGGAACAATTCAACTGACCTTTGTGCCAATGAATTTCCCTGCACTAAAATTAGGAACAATTATCAGATATCAATGTAAAAAAATAAAATTGGAACTAGAGCTTGTCAAAAGTGCTGAATACCCCCAACAATAGCTTGTTAGATAACATTCTTTTAGTTTATAATTTTGCATAGGGAGAATGCAGTAGTTAATAGATTATTTCAAATGCTTTTATATCATTTGTTCTACATCAGTAAGATAAATTAAAGTGGATTTGGAGTTTTCATGACTTTTAAGGGCAATATGTTCTCTCTCCCTGAGATTTCTACACTTCAACTACCTACAACGTTTCATGTTGATATCTTTTATGTTCTGGACAAAGTTCAAAGTGTAAAAATGAACAAAGGGGAATAACTCCAAAATTAGAGAAGGGAGGGTTACAGTTCTTATATGCACCACACTTCAACTCATTCAGATCTACCTACAAAATTTGAAATTGATATCTCTTGCACATTCGAGTTATGTCCCAGACAAGAAATCTGCAACAGACGGACCAACCAACCACCAGCTGACTCCAGTTTACCCCCCGACAAAATTTGTTTGTTGTGGGTATTAAATTACAACTGGAAATATGCCCATTGTGCATGGATGCCCCCCTACTCCACTGTTATCTTCTTTAGTCTACGCACAAACAGCCCAAGATGGTCGGACAAGGGCTCATATAAAAGCCCTCCCACTCACCCCCCATAAGCTGGGGCGTAAGAATTCAACTACAAACAGTAAAAGTCCTGGTCAGTCTGCATAGGCTGGCCTGTTCTGAGGCTGATCACTTTTGGTTTCTGCCGGTTTGTGGTTAATATGGTGGGAGTAATTAAATGACTTACACAGAATGTCATCAGTCATATGGGACGACTGTTCACTTGGTCCCTTCGGGTGTTGACAGGAATTGCTTGGAGGTGGTGCTGTAAAAAATAAATATATAAATAACAGTTCAAGGTCAATGCTGCACACAGACAATAAGATTAACAATTTTGAAAATTTAATCAAGTTCAATGCTGCAAAAATTTTGAAAACTAAATAAACTTCAAGGTCAATTCTGCACACAGACAATAAGATTAACAATTTTGAAGATTTCTGCACACAGACAATAAGATTAACAATTTTGAAGATTTAATAAAGTTCAAGGTCAATACTGCACACAGACATAATACAATTAAAAGTTTTGAAAATTTAATCAAGTTCAAGGTCAATCCTGTATACAGACAATAAAATTAACAACTTTGAAAATTTAATCAAGTTCAAGGTCAATACTGCACATAGACAATAAGATTAACAATTTTGCAACTTTAATAATAAAGTTCAAGGTCAAGGCTGCAAACAGTTTTGAAAATTTAATCAAGTTCAAGGTCAATACTGCACATAGACAATAAGATTAACAATTTTGAAACTTTAATAAAGTTCAAGGTCAATGCTGAAAACAATTTTGAAAATTAAATCAAGTTCAAGGTCAATTCTGCACACAGACAAATAAGACAAACAACTTTAAGACCAAAAATTTCATCAAAGACATGTAATTTTAGTTTATTTCAAAGTAACGTTATCTCCTAAATTCCCTTTACAGATCTTATCATCAAAATGGCAACTTTTTGTTATCAAAACAAATGTATACAGCATTTCTTATAATTTTATTCAGATAATATTTTAAATGCAAAGGTTAATTCTCATTAATAAATTATTCTGTAATTTTAGGAAAATGGACTTGAGTTATGGTAATCTGTAATTAATCATAAGCTTTGAATGTTTGTAATTAATGTTTATTACTCAAACAATAGCATATACATGTAAACTTTTTTTGGATGATCAAGTGGGAGATTTTTCTTCAAAAAGAGGGAGATTTTAGAATTTGCAATAAAAAAAAGAAAGAAGTTTTGACATCAAAAATAGGGAGATTTCTTTAATTTGTGAAAATACCCTTTATTTTAAGAAAAACCTTAGAAAATATGGCTGCAAAAAGTGGGAGTCTCCCGCTAAAAGTGGGAGGATTCACATGTATGATAGCAGTTTAGTTATGTAACCTTTAGCCCCATGATGGAAGTTTAAATATACCCATGCGACCAGTGCAGTCCAGGTTCAGCCAGTTCATCTGTGCTGTCTGATTATGGACTACACTGTTCACTTTTCAGTCAGTGCATAATTTGAAATTTTTTCGTAAAAATGATTAATGGTTTTGTCTAGATTGAAAGATGGGGGAAGTTCATTTAAGATATCTAGCTTGGTTAAGGTTAAGTCTATTATGACAACATTTCAAGACGACGTCCAAGACTGTGTCATGCTTCCTGTTGTTTTTTCCCTACTGATTTTTACACATTCCTTGGTCATATCTTGGTGAACAATCCACCCAACTGGCTTTCCTGGATAACTAACCAGTAAATGCCAATTTCTCCATAAGAGATGATCAACTTCTAATCCCACATGATTTATAAATCAACGGTGAGAGACAGTGACCATTAGACATAGAGACAGTGACCATTAGACATAGAGACAGTGACCATTAGACATAGAGACAGTGACCATTAGACATAGAGACAGTGACCATTAGACATAATGTCCGAGATCAATTGTCACATGACGCCTCACATGATATGACGCATGATATGACGCCTCACATGACATGACGCCTCACATGACGATCCAACCAGCGACCTCTAGATTACTTATCTGATGATATCCCTAATGAGCTAGGTGGGCCATTAGTCAATGTGTTATTATCATGTAGTGAGGCATCGTGGGATACCCACGGCTGAACCATTATCATTTATCAGCATGTTATGTGACATGTTTATCAATCGTGGGTATCCAACGATGGTAGTGAGTTGGGTTATTTTTAACTCGTGAAAAGAAGCAGAAGTGGTAAAATGCAAAATAGAGTGAAATAGTATCTAGATATAAATGTAAAATGAAACATAGAAAATATTAAATTTTACTATTAAACAATAGATAATCTATATCAATTTTGTCTACAATTAATGATGTAATTTTTTTTACATAATTGACATAAATTACACAAATTTACATAAATTTTCATAAATTTACATAGATTTATATAAATTTACAAACTTAAAAGAATAAAGACAGGAAATAATTTAGTATTTGAATAAATGCAAGCGCACATGCACAAAGGACAGAGTACATTTTTCTACAAACATTACCACACACTTGTGTCAGAAGAAAGGAAAAGTTACATACTAAACTTAAACAAATTAAAAAGGGAAGCAAACATTTGATGTGCCACATGAAAGATGCAATTTTGGCGCGATTTCTTACTTTTTTAATTTACGACTTTTTTTTAAGTTTATATTTTGTTAAGCATCCCTTATACGCTAAAAAGGATGTTTTGTTTAGCAAGCTTTAACCCTTACCCTGCTTTCAGCACTAAATCTACCACTGCGACCAATGGAGACCATGGATAGACGGCATATCTATGCTGTATGGTCTGCACTGTTCACTATTCAGTTAGTACATATTTTAAAATTTCCCCTAAAAATGATAAATGGTTTTGTCAAGATTGAAAGATGGACAAGACCACTTAAGATGCTTAGCTGGATAAGGGTTAAAACTAGACTGATAATGAAATATCTAAAAATAGAAATATATACAAACTAAAAATAGAAACATATACAACCAAATACACATGTAGCATCTTTGTCATCTAATCACATCATAGTAATTATAAGTTAAATAAATATACAGTCAAACCTGTGAACAATGGCCATGCAAATGAATTACCAAACATGACCCTTATACTAGTAGACAAGTGGTCTTTATGTGGAGGTTAACCTATTCTGTTAAATCAATAGATTGTTGAAAAAGTGGTCTTTCTTTACAGGGTGATCTCTATTATAAGGTGATCTTTAACACAGGTTTAACTATGTTAGAAAAATAAAAATGACTGCAGGCTGGCTATATACAAGTGGGTGGGGTATTACATCTACGGATGGTGAAGTATTATCGAGCATGCTATTAGATAGAGAGTACTGGTATCATACCACATTTTGAACATCTGTTACAGCAGCTATTACATTGTCCACACGAGCCATGCGAGCGACCTGTTTTAAAAAGTACATATTGCAAGAAACATTACATTATCGCTCAGACGATGAAATTCCAATTGAACAAGGATACAACAGAATTGTCAATAACATCTATAGTGATCCTATTTTTTTTTTATTTATTTATTTATTTACCGTATTTATTTATTTTTTTCTTATTTTTTTTTGACATTTTCATTTTTCATGCTCAGGAATTAAGCATCTCGACCTACAGAGTGTAAGGTCAATTCAAAAATTACCAAATAATAAAAGAATTTTCAATGTTAAATTTCCAATTTGTAGAAAACACATACATTATCATTTACATAGGTAAAAAAAATATATCCTGTTTTTTTTTACTATATGAATTTTACGAATCATTTTGGAATCTCATCTACTAATTCATTTAAATCATCAAACGTGTTCCATTCATCAATAACTTTATGTGAATCTTCAGTATTTTTTTCTTCTTCTTTTCCCCCTTTTTAAAATTTTTCAGTTGTTATTTAAGTTCATGTGTTTTTTTTTGTGTTTTTTGTTTGTTTTTTTTTCTTTTTTTTTTTACTCATTTTTCATATCCAATTTTTATCTTTTTTCCTGAAAGGGGGACCCATAGCATTTATGACCCTTATCACTATAGCAATTACAATATTTTGTCCCCCCGACACCCTTGTATTGATGAATGAAACACCTTTTTATCATATATCGTTCAAATTGGGATTAATATACATTGACATATTAGTATTCAAGCAAAAATCATGCCTGACAAAACTTTTTCGATGGTAACATAATCTCCAAATGCTTTTGTAATTTTTGTGATAGTACAACTAATTATTTTATAATGTCTTTATTTTAAGTGATTGTCACTTACCTAAACTATCTCACAAATGTGACAGTTTCACATGAAAGTAAGGTATTTGTGAAACAATGTATATGTGACTATCTACCCTATTTACTCACTTGTAAGTCTTCTTTTACCCCTATGATTTGAAAAGTTGTATTTTACACCTTGTCTTACAAAAGAGGCATGAACCAAAAAGTGGCTTGGAGCTCTCTGTTATTTTTAATATTTGTACATTTGTTATGAGTTATCCCACCAATGTGACATTTTCACATGATTTTAGGTATGTGTAACTAGGAATAATATACACTAATAACTCAATTATAAGATATTTCTTCCCTTTTAAGTTCAAGGGTTGTATTAGGCACCTTGTCAAATAGGCGTATCACAATAGTCCATACAAAAAAAAAAGACATGAAGCATAAAATGTTGCTGTTATTTTAATATTTGTACATTTGTAATAAGTTTATACAAACTAGGTTAAATAATATTCATGCACATCTAAGACAATAAAATTGTCTTATATGTGAATGAAAAACAAAATACTGCAAAGTTTCACATTCCAAATTTAGCCACTGTCTTTTAAGTGGGCTGACTTAAAGGTGAGTTAATAGTGAACACAAAATCCTCATTAAATTAAATGAACAAGTTAGTGACAGTGTGTGTAGACCACATCAAAACCAGACTAGTTTCTTTCTTTCGATATCCTCACATAGCCTATAAATTATCACTCAACTAGTTTTAATTAACCTTATAAACAAAGTTATCATGTGAAGAAATAAAAGACCTCTAAATACTGAAAAAGAATATTTTTATATAAAAGATAGGAAAGAGTTAGTAACATATTTTGTCAAAAGAGACAGCCAAACAAAAATCCTTAAAACACATCTTGAACAGGGTCAGAAAAAGCTTTAAAATGTCTATACTACTAAATATATATTAATAATACGAACTCTACGTCTACAAGAAGTTTGAAATAGAATACAGACATACAATACAATATCACAAAATCTGGGGAATAAAGAAGCCCGAAATTGACAACTTTCTGATGTAACAAACTTTATGAATTTAATAAAAGTGCATATAAAGTACTCTTGCCAGTAAAATGTTTAGTGATAGACATGAAATTAAATGCACACAACCATGTCCAACCAATATCTCGAGGTCCTTCTGCCCTATTTTCTGCTAGATATACGGTACTTAAATTTCAAACTCGTGATAATAATTAATTTTAATACAGCAAAAAATCTGCAATGTAATTAATGCAATTAATTAATCACATTTTAAAATATCAGCAAAATTTGTCTTTTTTTATTTTGAGTTGGAGACACACTGTCACTGTAAAGGTCATATGGCTAATTTCCAGCTGGTGGAAGAAGACCTCAGGTGTCACTCCCTGCATTATTTTAACCCGTTACCTGCTATATTTCTATAATGGACTCATTCTCTCCAGCTTTGAATTTGAAACAGTCCATTCAAAGATCGAGGGATTTCAATATCAAAATACAACAAGAGCCGGTTGAACCGGGTGATGCTCCCCGATTAGGTTTTGGACACAGGAAGGTAATATACCTATTGTTGTGTCAGAGTTATGCCACAGACAAAGTTCAAAGTGTAAAAACAACCCAAATATTGTGCACAACACATTGTCTCAATATTGTGACCATTTTTGTGAAATAGTTGTAAAATCCGACTTCAAATAACGAAGTAATGCGCCGGACATGATTTTGCTGCAAGGTCATAACATGACCTTGACCTTCAAGGTAGGGACCCAAATGTTGCATGCGGCACGTCGATTCAATATGGTGATCATCTCTGTGAAAAAGTTGTTAAATCCGACTTCCAGTTACAAAGTTATGGGCCGGACACGCTTTTTGCTGCAAGGTCATGCTGTGACCTTGACCTTCAAGGTGGATACCCAAATGTTCCAGACCCTGCGTCTCAATATGGTGATCATTTCTGTGAAATATTTTTAAAATCCGACTTCAAATAACAAAGTTATGGACCAGACACGATTTTGCTGCAAGGTCATGCTGTGACCTTGACCTTCAAGGTAGCGACCAAAATGTTGCGCGCGACACGTCGTCTCAATATGGTGATCATTTCTGTGAAAAAGTTTTAAAATCCGACTTCAAATAACAAAGTAATGGGCCGGACACGATTTTGCTGCAAGGTCATGCTGTGACCTTGACCTTCAAGGTAGCTACCCAAATGTTGCGCGCTACACATCGTCTCAATATGGTGATCATTTCTGTGAAATATTTTTAAAATCCGACTTCAAATAACGAAGTTATGGACCGGACACGATTTTGCTGCAAGGTCATGCTGTGACCTTGACCTTCAAGGAAGCAACCCAGATGTTGCACGCGACACATCGTCTCAATATGGTGATCATATCTGTGTAATATTTTTAAAATCCGACTTCAAATAACAAAGTAATGGACCGGACACACTTTTGCTGCAAGGTCATGCTGTGACCTTGACCTTCAAGGTAGCAACCCAAATGTTGCCCGCGACACATCGTCTCAATATGGTGATCATTTCTGTGAAATAGTTTTGAAATCCGACTTCAAATAACAAAGTAATGGGCCAGACACGATTTTGCTGCAAGGTCATGCTGTGACCTTGACCTTCAAGGTAGCGACCCAAATGTTGCGCGCGACACATCGTCTCAATATGGTGATCATTTCTGTGAAATATTTTTAAAATCCGACTTCAAATAATGAAGTTATGGACCGGACACGATTTTGCTGCAAGGTCATGCTGTGACCTTGACCTTCAAGGTAGCGACCCAAATGTTGAGCGCGACACGTCGTCTCAATATGGTGATCATTTCTGTGATATAGTTTTAAAATCCGACTTCAAATAACAAAGTTATGGGCCGGACACGAATTCGGGACGGACTGACGGATGGACGGCCGGACGACCCGAGGACTATATGCTCCCCCGAAATTTTTCGGGGAGCATAATAATTGAAATGCCAACAGTATAGAGCCTGGTCAGACTGCACGGATGTGCAGGCTGGCCTGGCTCTATACTGGTGGCAAAGGCTGACCACTTTTGGTTCCAAAAGGTTAAGGGTTAAAATCAAGTGCAAACACCTGAATGGAATCCTAAGACCTTGATGGGACTTGAATCCACAGCAGTGTGGGGCAAGTGGTTTGAAGTCAACAACGTTTACCATGGATATTGCTTAAGGTAGTCTTACTGTAATGCTTTCCCTCAAAAGAAATTCTTACATCTGTTAATATCGTAGCAATTCGGTTATTTCCGGAAAGTTAACTTTTCAAAATCTTTGGCATTAGATTATTTACAGTCACCCATTCCTTATCAATATGTACTAAATTCAGGTTATAGATGGTTAAGATTTATTGAATACCGAATATTGTGAAAAATAACTTTCCGGAAAAGACCGTTTTATTCTGACAACGGGCGATGTTAGAAATTTATTTGGCGGGAAAGCATTATAGTACGACTACCTTACAGAAATATTATTAAATCTCAAACACAAAATTTTTGCATAAATTGACTATTTCTACCAGAATCCATAAAACAAAACAAAAAATCAGGGTATGTCAGGGGAATACAATGGGTAAAATACAATCAAGGGTGTACAGACGCATGGGCAGTGATTAATATATAATGTATTTATATATATATATGCTAACTCAGCCCTACATAAACATGCATTATGCAACATGGAACCAGCACAAGCCAACATGTCATCTCGTTATTGACCTTTTCGAAAACCTAGCTAAACACCGTTTTCCGGTACGTTACCGTTTTAGCTCTGGGGAATTACACCAAATGAGGTACATAACACAGTTACGTGATATTTCTATTTTTCTAATATTTATCTTTTTTTCTGAAAGGGGGACCCATAGCATCTATGACACTTATCGCTATAGCAATTACAATATTTTGTCCCCCCGACACCCTTGTATTGATGAATGAAACACCTTTATATAATATATCGTTTAAATTGGGATTAATATACATTGACATATTAGTATTCAAGCAAAAATCATGCCTGACAAAAAATTTTTGATGGTAACATAATCTCCAAATGCTTTTGTAATTTTTGTGATAGTACAACTGATTATTTTATAATGTCTTTATTTTAAGTGATTGTCACTTACCTAAACCATCTCACAAATGTGACAATTTCACATGAAAG